AGTAAATACTGCCACATTTAGTCATTGCTGCTGTTTCAGGTGACAGACACCCACCTCCCCGCACAAGTTACTCATAAATCAGGGCTATGTATGGTGTAGTCACACTGGAGCATGCAGACACAACAGAGGAACGGTATATATGGAATGGACAGATTTCAGAGAAATTACCAGTGTTTTCCATCTCTATTGTTCCGCATGACTGTGGATCATTTGAAGCCTCTATTCCTGAAGACAGGAGCTGGTGATGAGGAAGTCCTCATAAGTCTGTCGGTCAGGAAGTTGGAATGGGAAGGGTTTTACTGTTTTTGTTTTTTTTACCCCCAGAAGTTCCTTGTTTAAATATAAACACAATTAGGGGGTGGGGGATTGGGTGTATTTTTTATCCTAATATTACTATAAATTTAAAAAATGATTTTGTAATGGCAAAAACTAAATATTAAAAAATAGATGCTAAATCAATTAATTATTTAGAAAAAAATAATTATTTAAATTAATTATTTCAAATAAATAATATTTTAAGAAATATTTTTTTCTAAATACATTTTTAAAAATTATTCAAGCATAAAAATAGAAAAATATAATAATACAAAGCCGTTTTAATGCTGTAAAATGACTAAATCTTACTGGTAATATTTATTGCATTTTATTAACTAAATTGTAAAAAATAATTATTGGATTATGTTTTATACTGTAAAAAAATGGCACAATGGGCTGTATTCATTTGAAAGAATTTTCTGTATTGATTTTTTTTACAGGTGTTTTGAATTTGTATTTTGAACAGGTGTATTTTGAATTTTGCACTTCATTGCATTAAGTTAATGGAAATGTCCGTAAAATTACTGGACAATGTCCTGGCTGAAACTTACCTTTTTTTTTTTTTTTTTACAGTGTACAAGAAAAAACTTTTTTATTTTTAAATTTCATGTTTAATTCAACATGTTACTTGCCGTTTCTTTGTAATTAAGTGTGAAATTTACAAGCAATTTCGGATTGATTCAGTGTACTAATTTTTCAATGACAAGTAAAAAATCTCTCAGTTTAAGCCTCTAATGCATGATGGGTACTTTAGCTTTACTGAAAATGCAACAATAACAACTGATTGGCTTCATTTAGCTTCATTTAGCATCCTGCTGTTATCAGGCTAACATTTTTCTAAGGGAACATTCACATTCATCCTTCATATTGTGTCTGTCCTGTGCTCGCACTCCATTTCACTCTCTTCTTTTATTCTTCATCTCCGAAGGGGGCTGTTACATTGATTTGAGATCAAACTGACAAAAGATGAACTGTGGAACAACAAGCCTCACAGTCCCCTAAAGTAATAAGACAAAAAAAAACTCAATTGGTACAGTGCATTCTGAGACAGAATATTCTCACCTGTTTCTGTACTGTGAAAACATAGCGTGTCAAGCAGTGCACACATTTGCTGTGTTATTGTGTGCACTTATTTATAGTCACATCACAATCAAGTTCAGGAGTATGACGCAAGTCTCTCAACACCTTGAGAGGTAGACCCATGAGCCAAAAGAACATTAAGGTCATACTTGTCTCTATAAATGAATAAAGGTTTGATGATGACGCCTGAAATATCAAAAGCATTATCAGTGAGGCAAACTAGGTGTTAGTCTTGTTAGGCAACAGCCCATTAAAATGCTAATTGAAGGCAAAGACAGCAACAAGACAGTGCAGGTTTGAAAGTGAAATTATATAATGTTAATATACCAATCTAAAAAAAAAAATGGTTTGTACCATAAAATGTACTGATGTGCACCATGATAATACAGCTGGTAAAAATAAAAGCCACATGAGGAATCAGAGCTGAAGTGGCCTGTCCATAAAACATTTCCAGCTCTCATTTAGTATGATTTTGTACAATTTGATTTGTATGAAATGTATGAAGGTTGTATTAATGTTGTATGAAGGTTCACTCCCATAACCTCACCCCTAAACCTACCCTTTAGCACAGTGAGCAAATTGTCGGAAAACGTATGAATGAGATCATATTAATTCAGAAGAATGTATACTTGTTGTAGTTTCTAAACTGATTAGAAGTGTTAAAGGGTTAGTTCACCCAAAAATGAAAATAAGCCCATAAATTACTCACCCTCAAGTCATCCTAGGGGTATATGACTTTCTTCTTTCAGACGAATCCAGTCGGAGTTATATAAAAAAATTGTCTTTGATCTTTCAAGCTGTTTCATGGCACTCAGCGGGTGTTGCATGCTTCAGTCCAAAACAAGTTAAATAAAAAGCGTCCATCCATAAAAAAAAAGTGTCTTACACGGCTCCGGGGGGTGAACAAAGGCCTTCTGTAGCGAATCGATGTGTTTTTGTAAGAAAAATATCCATATTCAAAACGTAATAATCACTTTAATGTAGCTTGCGTTCACTGTTGTACACGGAAGCAGTGCCGGGGGAATGACATATGAGGTCAGCTTTGCGCATTTTTGGGTAAACTAACCCTTTAAGATCACTGATTCTTATACAATTTGATTACTGCAGTGCAGTGTAAGTGGATCATATGAAGGCATATGAATGAAATTGTGTACAAATTCATAAGAATTACCAGCCATTCGCCAACTGGACGGTGCATATGGTCATACACACAAAGATAAAGCAACATCAGGTAAGACACAAACATGTTTAAAACACTAAATAACATAAAATGTAATGCAAAACATCCATGTATATTATTGTTGACCAAAAAAAAAAAAAAACGGAAAGAAACAAAACTATGTAAATAAAATATAATCATATATGATGTGTCACACAGCAACTTCTGCACTGTAAAAATAAATAAATAAATTGGCTGTGGTTGCCAGAATAATTTTGTAAAAAAAAATACAGAAAAATCAAAGTTAGTAGTTAGTAGTAGTTTTCCACAAGCTAAAGTACATAGTAATATACAGAAGGCACACAGAGTCATTCCAACAAACACAAAACGCCATCATGGTAACACACATGACTAATAATGCAATAAACATTCGTTTAACCACTGAAGATAAGAAAAACCCAAATGTACGTAACTGATAACAAAAAATATTGAGAAACATGATTATTTAAACAAAATACTTTCAAATGTGGAGTGTCAAGCAGGGAATTCTGGGAATATCAGTTTACAGTTTTTTGACTGTAAATTATGCGTTGATTTGTTATTTTTTACTTCTAAAAACGGTACAATTAACAGCATTTTACTGTATAATTACATGGAATGTCTGTTTAGATCTTTTACAATGTTTCCCTGTATATGGTATAGGAACTTACTGTTAACATATTAACAGTTTTTTTTATTATTATTGTTGTTGTTTTTTTTCCATAGTGTTCTTACAATAAGTTACAGTTAAAATTACACTCATTTTTACAGTGTGGGAATTTCCTTTTACTGTTTTAAACCATAAATTACACAGTAATTCATAGCTGTCACTTCAAAAACCAAACATTTCACAGTATTTTACAGTAAAATTATAATGTTAATAAATAATGCAATGTTTATACTAATGTTTATACTGAGTGACTTGCATTTGTTACAATATTGTAAACTAATTTCCAAAAATATTCAAAAAATAATAAAAAATGGACATACAAACACAGAGCAGAATGAATTCACTCGTGAAGACATTTGCAGGACATTCCTGAATGAATCAGTGTTTCTGAACAAATTGGCTGAATGAATGATTCAATGACTCATTCATAAAGGCACAGTTGTTGCCACCTACTGGCGTAACAATGTAACCTGCAGAAAGAGTCACTGAAAAATCCCACTGCTTTTTGCAGACACACACACACACACACACACACACACACACAGGTTTCCATTTTTTATTGGGACTTCCCATAGACATAATGATTTTATACTGTGCCCCTTTCCCAACTCTACCCCTAAACCTACCCCTCACAGAAAACTTTATGCATTTTTCAAAAAAACTTAATTTAGTGTAATTTAAACTGTTTTCCTCATGGGGGCCAAAAAATGTCCCCACAAGATCAAAAATTACTGGTATTACTATCACTGTGGGGACATTTGTTTCCCATAATGTAGGGAATAACAGGTACACACACACACACACACACACACACACACACACACACAACAGTTAGATTTGTTCAGATAAGGTCTAGTCTAGATATATTCTTTGGAATGCTTTGCCATTATCTATAAAATCCTCATCAAGCATGGACATTTTTAATATTTGGCTTTAACTTGTTTTACCAGGCTTTTGGCATTTGATTGGTCGGATAACTGTGAATGACATGTTTTATTGTTTTATGTTTTTGGTGTTATGCTAACAATGTTCTATGTTTTTCTTGTGTTTTAGATTTTATGCTTCTTGTGTACAGCACATTGGGCCATTTTTATTGAGTTGACTTGAGTATTCGGTGCATGTGTATACAGTAGCTATATTGGCCTAGGCTACATATTGTAAACACTGGGATTGGTCAAAGCCCCTTTAGATACAGTCTTTAGATTAGTCTGTCAGTTTGTCTATGAGTGATATTACAGAAATTCTTCTAGTTTAAGCCACAGTGCATGGCTTCAATTTCATTGTAGAAGTGGATTTTTTGTTGTTTTTTTACCACGCAGCGTGAATGCATGCATCAAGCGCGTTCATCTTTTTAACCACAAGATGTCAGCACTCCATAAGTGTTTCCAAAGTCCGGTATATTTCACAGCCTGACTGTATGGCTTCACACAAACCTTTGAAATAATGGATGCGAAATTACGAATGCTACTCCGCTGAAGGTTGGTACGTGAATATTAATGAGCTCATGCAGACTTTGCTTGCAAACCTTCCTATGGGGAATGTTTTCCTCATGAATATGACTTTAGTCATGCTAATATTGCTTGATGACCTTCCAATGGCGAAGGCTTGTCCATTGAATATTAATAGACAAGCCGTTGCCATAGTAAGACCCATAAATTCACGATAAGGGACAGTCTGCGCCAACGGGGACAGGTGGGATATTTATCAGCATGCTGGAAATCCAGACTTTGCGCACTAACAGCCAACATACGCTTTCTGAGCCTTCTGCTCGGCTATGAAACAAACACCTAAGATCATATTTACTCTAAATGATGCTGAATGCCTCTGCGGAGGAGCATCTCTGCCTTTGCCTTTGGACATTTTCAGGTCTGCCGTCATCGTTCTGTGAGAAATCTCTCAGAAATCAGTGCAGAGGCTTCAGCATGTTTTGAGTAAATAAAGGTATCGAACGATATTTCCATACCATACAACGATGCTGGAAAAGAGTAAATATAATTTGGTAGACGACTCAGTGGATCAGAGGATTCCTGCTGATAATGATGGGCAGTTCCAGCATGGGCTCACATTCGAGGTGAAGGTAAATATTAGAAAAAAATGCAATTGTTTATGAATTATTGTGTACTACTTCATTAGTGCACTTGTTACCATGTAACTGCATTATTCAGTAATATGTAATTATCTTGTTGAAGGGATTGTAAAAACCCATTGTCGATGTAATTATTTTATTAATGTGTAATATTTACATGGACAGTGTAATGTAAGGTTTTACCATTAAGTGGCTAACTGTACATCACCTGTTGCACTGGTATGCATGCAAATCATTGACTTTGTCCCAGAATATGCAGTTTATCTTATGTTAATTGTTTAACCTCTTCTGCAACAGTTCATCGGGAGCCTGGATATTGTGCGACCCAAAAGCAGGATTGAAATATTGGTCGCTATGAGACGAATACGGGTAAGGGTTCCTGAATTTGACAGGTGAAGTATAGGAAAATCTTTATAAAGATGCAGACCGTAGACCTTTTTGAAATAATGATGTATGAATGGCATATCTTGCACACAAATGACTGATTCACAATGTTTTACAATATAATATTACTGGTAATTCGCATATATTTTAAATATCTAGGTTAATATATAGTATTATGCATTATAATATTATATATATTTATATAACATTATAATAATAGTATAATAATAATGTATCATAATCAATAATGAACAGTAATATTATTGACAAAACAAAAATAATAATAATAATTATTATTATTATTTATCAATCAAGAACAAAAATGTTAAAGAAACAACAAAAACAATAATAATTTACTGAAACAACTGAAAAATAACATGTCAGGATGTATTTGTTCGGATTCAAGCTGCATAAACTCCAAAATCTTGTGTAAAACCATCCAAAGAGCATCTTAAACTTCAGTGAAAGCGAGACCATCTAAGAGTATGTACAAATGTTGACATGCTCAATGAAATTCATTTTGATTTGTGACCTAGGCTAGAAGTAGTGCAAACCTTAAATATATCGTCTTCATTTTGCAATACAACATGTCTTTATAACCATGTTACATAATTCTCAAGAGTTTTTCAAAGGTGTTAATGATTATATATTTTGCTCTGAAGAACTGGTCCTGATAGAGCAACTTTATGCACTCACACTCTGAATTTAGGAAAAATCACAGTTATTAGGTCAGGCAGGTGGTTCATGTGTTGGAAGTTGTTTATTCGAATAATGTGGTACCAGTGTAAAGACTGTTCGTTCATGTTTTCTTTTCTTCAAGGGTCCAGTATTTATGAGATTGCACCAGTGTGCTTTCAGCAGCAGCACAGTTTAGCTTAATCGACTTTGCTCCATCAAAGAGAATTATGTTTGAGCAATGTTTAGACTTATTTGCACAAGATTTCTCTTCAGGGAACTTTTCCTGTTGATAAATCAACTGATAAAGTCATTAGTATTTCATAGCACTCAAGTTTTTTTTTTAGATATCACCCTCTGTTTTATGTATTTTGAGGAGAACTGAGAGCAGCTGGAGTAACAACAAGCTTCTTAGAAAATAGCTCAACTTGCTAGTGGTCCATGTTAGCATTAATCAAAGCTTCAGATGAAAGAGCGTTCTTTAAACTCAGCCACACTTCAGTATGCCTAGTGCGTTGCCTTTAATCCCAACCCTGTGGAGCTGTTTATTTCCTAGTCTTTGATTATTCATGCAGTCTGCATCTAACAGAGCTAGCAAGTCTTCCAAAAGCAATAGCATCTTCATGGATGGTTGATATCTTGATAAATTTCTTATCAGTGCAAGTTGTTTAAGTTTCCAAGGATACAGTATGTTTGATTTGAGATATACGTTACAATCCATATTTTTCATACTTAATTGTTAATTTATACTGCACATCATGTGGTGACTCCAGTTAACTCTAACCTGATAAATGATGACTTCATCTGTTTCATATGTTGTTTTTGCAACAAAAAAATAAATAAAATAAAACATGACACTTGTTCGGGTCAAAAATGACCCATTTAGGCCTCAATGTAACTTAAAAAAAATTATAGTACTCTCCTATTTTATACATGAAAACTGGTGTATGCTTAGATGTTTTCACAGGAGCCTCAGACTTATGTAGAAGCATTTTACTTGGAAATGATATGACTATATCACCACCTACTGTATATAGTGGTGGTACAGTAGATACATGTATACTGTTACCAGATAAGGACAATGTGACCTGAACATAAAAAGAATATACAAAAATTTGAATTTTTTATTTTATATTTTATTTAAAAAAATAAAAAACATAAGACATATTTTAGGATTTTTTATTAATGTATTTAGGTTTATTCATTAATGCTTAATTTAAATAAAACTAGTTAATTGATGTTACCATTTTTAGGTTACCATTTTTTAAGTGTAGGATTTGAGTAATGTTAATGTTTTGATTCATGTTTTAATTTATTCAATCCATCATTTTTTGTATCATTTTCAGTATGAATTTAAAATTAAGAACATCAAGAAGAAGAAAGTCAACCTTATTGTGTCAGTGGATGGTGTCAAGGTGGTTTTACGGAAAAAGAAAAGGGTGAGGTGTTTTGTCCTTGTAATTTTTCTGATGTTGTATATGTTGTGCAATTAATTTTGTATATACAATTCATTATGAACATATTTCTTGACTAAAAATGTGCTAAATATGTATGTTAGAAATTTGACTATAGCTGGGATGAAATTCAAATGACACTGGCCCAGGACCCCATTTTCAGGTAATTCAACCACATTTTGTTTACATAGAAAGCTGATTTCTAATTTTGCTTGTGACTGAAGTGACATGGCCTGTGGAGGTTTGATGACATTTATCGTTGTGCACGCACACGTCACATCAAAATCATTCGGCTCTGTGAGCCGCAACAATTGACAGAATATCTTTGAAATCCCCATAGCAACAACCAGTCTCCAGTGCACATAAACGTCTCAGAGACACTGCGTCCCCTAGAGGGCGCTATGGGGAATGCCTCTGGCATGACCAGTGTCTGAAGCATGAGTCTAAACACAACAATGAACTTGACACTGACAGGCGGCAGCCTATGACGTCACAACTGGTGCACTTCTTGTCTGAAGGAGATGTACGCACAAATGCCTGAAGCATGGCAAAGGGACGCAGCATATCGTTCCCTATTCTAAGGGAACCATGGTTACATGCGTAACCTGAGACGTTCCATTTCGAAAGGGAACTCACGATGCATCCCCTTCTCAAGAACGGAGGCCTCAACAGTAGAGAAGAAGCCTAACTACATTCTTAATCAGGCCAGTGTCCAAGGAGGCTCACAGAGAGCCTAACACTCAGAGCTAACTGGAGTGGAGGCCTAAATATACCACCTCTTAAATGAGAAGCAGCCTAGCAACACTCCACACTAAGGTCAGTAGCCAAGGAGGATCCCAGAGAGCCTAACAACTTAGCATACTACCCTACCACCTAGCCGAGCTCTAGGAGCGGAAGCCTCAGTATGAATGACTCTTCAAATCGAGAGAAGAGCTAACAATGCCCCACGCTCAGGATATGTTCTAAGCAGGCTCACAAGGAGCCTACTACTCACCATTTATCTTTAAATGGAGCTCTGGGGAGAGGAGGCCTCAACAAGAGGAGACCTAACAACACTCGCAGTATCCAAGGAGGCTCACAGAGAGCCAACTCAACTTGGCAAACCTGTGCTGGTTAAGAACAAACAAGGGTCTAACACAGATAGAAAGGTCACAAAGCACCCCACGCGTGTCCTTACCATAAGCATGGATTTCAGAAAAGGCACGAAGCAGTCAGCGCATGCTCTTACCATAAACATGGATTTTAGAGAATGCAGGAAACGCATTTTAGCATGACGACACTCTAAAACTTGAGGAGGCCTAACTAGGCCCCACGCTCATGACATCTTGTAAGAGTCTCACAGAGAGCCAACAACTCACAGATGCTGCCCTAGCAGAGCTCTGGCGAGTGGAGGCCTCAATGAAGATAACTCTCTGTAGCGAGAGGAGGCCTGGCAACGATCGCAGCAGATGGCCGAGCTCTAGGAGTGGAGGCCTCAGCATGACAACTCTCTAAAATGAGAGGAGGCCTAAATACGCCCTACGCTCAGGACATCTTGTAAGGAGGCTCACAGAGAGTAAACTACTCACAGATGCTGTCCTAACGGAGCTATCGTGAGCGGAGGCCTCAATGAAGATAACTCTCGGTAGTGTGAGGAGGCCTGATGATGCTCGCAGTAGATGGCCAAGCTATAGGAGCGGAGGGCTCAGGATGGCGACTTTCTAAAATGAGAGGAGGCATAACTACGCCCCACGATCAGAAATCTTGTAAGGAGGCTCACAGAGAGCCAACAACTCACAGATGCTGTCCTAGCAGAGCTCTGACGAGCGGAGGCCTCAATGAAGATAACTCTCTGTAGTGAGACGAGGTCTAATGATGCTCACAGTAGATGGCCAAGCTCTAGGAGCGGAGGCCTCAGCATGATGACTCTCTAAAATGAGAGGAGGCAAAACTACGCCCCACGCTCAGGACATCTTGTAAGCAGCTTCACAGAGAGCCTACAACTTATATATGCTGTTCTAGCGGAGCTCTGGTGAGCAGAGTCCTCAATAAAGATAACTCTCTGTAGCGAGAGGAGGCCCGACGACGCTCTTAGTAAATGGCCGAGCTCTAGGAGTGGAGGCCTCAGCATGACTACTCTCTAAATCGAGAGGAGACCTAACTTTGACCTATGCTCAGGACATCTTTCAAGGAGGCTCACAGAGAGCCTACAAACCACCAATACTGTCCTAGCAGAGGTCTGGGGAGCGGAGAGCTCAATAAAAATAACTCTCTGTCGCAAGAGGAGACCTGACAACACTCGCAGTAGCCAGGGAGGCTCACAAAGGGCCTAACAACTTGCACTTGCTAGCTTATATCTGGGCTCATAGGTAACCCTACCTAAAAGCAGTGGCCAAGGAGGCTCAGAAAGCCTAACAACTCCGCACCACTGTGTGATGGAGCTCTGTGGATGGAAGTCTCAGCATAACAACTCTCTAAGATTAGATGATGCCTAACTACATCCTACACTCAGAACGGCTTACCAGGGAGGCTTACAGAAAGCCTAACGACTTGATGACGCTATCAGAGCAGAGCTCCTTACTGAACCTGCCATTCAGCAGAACATAAAAACATAAATGGCCAGGTAAGAGCCTTCAATGAGGACACATTTCCACCTATTATGGAATCTCTTACAATCTCTCTGCCTCAGCATGGAGATCAAAGGAAAAACAGAGGGCTCACAGGGACAGGCAGAAATACTTTTCAACAAAATCTGTCTCATGCAGCCAAAACGGATCTAATCTGTCATTGGTGCAAGCTATAACTTTAATAATAATAATAACAGCACTTTTCTTTCTCTAATTCCTCAGAATTAGACACATTAACAACAATAATGTTATTTGAGTCACCAAGAGGAGACAAAAAAGGAAAACTTCCTGTTTGACTTGTCCGTGCTCTGCCTACAACCCCTGCGCTTAGTCCCGCCTCACCGTAATGGCGGTCATGGGACCCAACCGCGGGGTGCAGACACTCAACTCTCATCCCTCAAGAGAGAGTCAAGCCCAGTTGGAGCCAATCATTGCAACCGCATCGCACAAAAGCGTGCGATTTAACCTCAAGTGTGCTCGTTCAAACGGCGGATTCTATCACTCTGAAAATAATCATACGACAACAGACGTGAATGCATCACTATAAGTGCCTTATAGAGAGCCAAACGCACTTGTACAAATTCTAACTACTATCCCTCAGGACAGAGCAGAAAGGAAAGAGTTCCTTACCTGTCTCTTGTAGTCAGTCTCAGGAATGCATCATACTTAGTGCATTCAGCTTGTTCGAAGAGAAGACAGCATTCCACCCAAAAGTGTGTTCCACATCCCTCGAGAATAGGGACGGCGCGAATGGAGCTTTCATTGAGAAATCCTTTCAGTGTGCGCATTCTGCTCCTTCAGGAGCTAAACCTGTGTGCTCCTAATTTATTACAAAATGTTATGTTTTAAAATGCTCCTGATGTATTTCACAGGTGCCCTTTTATACTGTCGGCCGCACCAGTTGTGACATCATAGGCTGCCGACTGCCAATGTCAAGTTCATTGTTGTATTTAGACTCATGCTTCAGAAACTGGTCATCCCACATTCCCCATAGCACCCTCTAGGGGACGCAGCACGAGTTCCCTTTCGAAAAGGAACACACTGTTTAGCTGTAACATCATCAGTGTTAACTAGTGTCAGTCCACTTTAGTTTTATTGTATTAAAGCAATGTCCAATACCAACATGATCGTTCTGAAATGGATCAATTTCTAGAGTTTTAGCTGGACACTATTGTAATATTTACTGTTGTATTCCAAAACCTGTTGTAATATCAAAATCTAGACATTGAATGTATTTCTGTAATGCTTTATGACGTCAAAGGGACCAAGTCAGTGAAGAACGTGTTGGCCTTGTTGTTGCCATGGCAATGAGACAGTTTTAAGGTCAATTGTTGCAGCTCATTAATCTTTTTTTTTTTATTTTCAGAATATTTTACGTCTCACATGACTCACAGGACCTGAAGATATTCAGTTACATAGCAAGAGACAAGAAAAGCAATGTGTTCCGCTGTAATGTCTTCAAATCAAAGAGAAAGGTAAACATCACCATAATACAGGAAATCCACCAGACATTTGATAAAATTTGCACAAATACATGTATGTTAATAATATTGATTGATTGCCCAGGAATGGAAATGGAAAAATGGAACATCTTAGCGGAGGATTAATTCTGCTGGAGATCAATTATTTAGTTGTTCTATTAATTATCAGATGAAGTTTAAAGTAACTGGGTTTAACACTAAGGATGGCCTTCTGGTCCAGGACTAATGTGAGAAAGTTTCAGACCATCTGATGGAATAGTCACTGGATCAGTGCTGTGTTTTATATATAGATTAGGGCTGGGTGGTATGACGGTATATATCGTTACCGTGAAATAAAGTGTTTATCGTTAGAGATTTTGCTATATTGTGTATTCCGCGATATGCAAATATATCTGTGTAACATAGTACTGCTTAAACATTATACACCTTTTGAGTGCTAAGAAAACATGCATGAATGAGAAAATAAAGCCGAAGTGCGTGCACTGAAAGCCCCTCTCTCGACAGCATGCGATCGCGAAAACAGATCTCTTTCATGTTGTATTGAGCTTGAATGGCCAAATACACACACAGTAATGTCATAATGCCCGTCGTGTGGAGTATTCAAGTAAACACTGTTCGTTATATGTTAAATAAATGTAAAACAGTTGTGTGAAAACCGGATGTGTTTCAGTATATTGGATCCGTGCAGTCGGTCTTAAAGGGACAGCAGCCTTATTTACCTGCTGCTCTCTGTCATTATTAATGTTAATCATGTTTGACTGATACAGTGAAGGCTATGTAGTGTTTTATTTATACACTTTATTCGATTTCTGTAATATTTCTTACTACATGTTAAATAAACCTAGCCTACTGTAGCTGAATAAATTAAAAGTTTATTTCATATTTATTTGTTCTGTTGTGCTTGTAATTTGCTTCTTTTTCTTAATTCTAATAACAAAAATAAAATAAAAATAGCTATATTGAGGTACATATCGTTATCGTGAAATAAAATTTCTCATGCCATGAAATAAGATTTTGGTCATATTGCCCACCCCTAATATAGATGACCATATTATTCAATAGATTAGGTTTTAGATCGGTAACATGTTTTGATGTTTTTAAAACAAGCATTTATTTGATCCAAAATACAGCACAAACAGTAATATTGTGAAATGTGGGGGCGTGGTTATGACTCCGAACTAGGCGCACGCTTTTCTGTGAGCTCCTGGCGTTGTTCGTTTAAAATCCTGAATACCATCCTCTTTATTCACCGACACGATTTTACTTTGTTTTATTAACTCTTCGTGGTGATTTAAAAATCAAGATGCCCTCAAAAAAACGCAAAGATAAGCCAAAACTGGACTCTTCTCCAGTCGTGGAACATGACGCTGAAGAGGATGCTAGTAGCATTAGCTCATCAGATACCGTATGCAGCGCACCTCAGGGAGAGGCAACTTGTGCCAACGCTTGCCAAAAGTTGGATGTGATTCAAAAACGGGATCTAATGAGAATTGATTTTGCCACAAAGCTTGATGGAGTTCGAAATGCGATACAGGATGTTAAAAAGGATGTAAGAGACTTCTCCGGGTGCATGGATATGGCCGAAGAGCACATTAGCAACGTAGAAGACGCGGTTAATTCAGAGCAAGTTGGAAGAAGCAGCTAAGCACATTTCTTTTCTCACACGCAAGCTTGACGATTTTGAAAACCGTTCGCGGAGATCGAACCTCAGGTTGGTTAATCTTACCGAAAAGGTGGAAAATCCGGATGCAGTTGCGTTCCTGGAAAAATGGCTGCTTGAAACGCTGGGTCCCGAAACCTTCCCTGCTCCGCCTGTTATTGAGAGAGCGCACAGGCTACCTGGTAGGCCACAATCCAATCGATCATCTCCAAGAGTGCTGATCATGAAGTTTCTGAACTTTCCAGATAAAGTCTGAGTGATGCATGCTGCCAGGGCTAAAGGCAGAATTATGTATGGGGAACAAGAGGTCAAGTTTTTCCCGGATTTTTCTGCGGAGTTGCTTCGTCAGAGGAGACGTTTTGACTGTGTTAAACAGTGACTGCGATCCTTGAACATTAACTATGGACTAGTTTACCCTGCCAAACTACGTCTGACAGTTGAAGGACAGACCCGTGAGTTTGAAGACCCGTCTGATGCCGAAAAGTTCATACAGGGAATACAGAGTGCAGCTGAAGCATAAAGGACTTAAAGGGAAGGTTGTCAGTTTTCCCTGTTTATGTTATGCCCAGCCGAAATGATTGTTTTTCACATTTGATATGCAGATGCTTTGTTTTCTGCAGGGTATAATGTGGTTATTCTCATTGTTTCTGTAATGACAGTAGCCAATGCGGTAATGAATAAGAGAATTAGATGCATTGTAAATGTCTATTCTTTTTACTTCGAAGAGTTCAACTATATAATTTGAAAGACCTTTCTGGGGTGAATGTCCATAAATCCACAGAGTGATGCCAGGAGTTTCACACAATTCCAATTAGTTTTTCTTTTTCTTTTTAGCTAATCGCTTAGTTTTCTTTAACTGCTCCCTTTTTGATATTGGATCAGTGTTGGGACATAACTGTATCCCAAGGTGTTAAAGTCGGGAGGGCAAAGGGGTCAGGCTGTCTTGTTCAGGTGGACAGCTAAGGTAATTTGTTCATGGCAGGTTTTTGAGTTATTATTTGTCTTGTTTTTTTTAAATAATTACACCTTAGTCTGGCAGATCTTTTGGTTAACTTCCACATCAAAATATTTTTTGATAAACGTGTGTATATAAATGATAATACAGGGAACCTATATGAGTAAAGTTATTAATCTGGTTAATATTTATGGCCCAAAAGAGGATATCTGTCACGGTGCACACACACGAGGAACACGGGAACGAAGGAGCGAGGAGACACGGAGTAGAATAAAGGAACTGGGGATCGGGAGCCCCGCCTGGGCGGAACTGGGGATCGGGAGCCCCGCCTGGGCGGAACTGGGGATCGGGAGCCCCGCCTGGGCGGAACTGGGGATCGGGAGCCCCGCCTGGGCGGAACTGGGGATCGGGAGCCCCGCCTGGGCGGAACTGGGGATCGGGAGCCCCGCCTGGGCGGAACTGGGGATCGGGAGCCCCGCCTGGGCGGAACTGGGGATCGGGAGCCCCGCCTGGGCGGAACTGGGGATCGGGAGCCCCGCCTGGGCGGAACTGGGGATCGGGAGCCCCGCCTGGGCGGAACTGGGGATCGGGAGCCCCGCCTGGGCGGAACTGGGGATCGGGAGCCCCGCCTGGGCGGAACTGGGGATCGGGAGCCCCGCCTGGGCGGAACTGGGGATCGGGAGCCCCGCCTGGGCGGAACTGGGGATCGGGAGCCCCGCCTGGGCGGAACTGGGGATCGGGAGCCCCGCCTGGGCGGAACTGGGGATCGGGAGCCCCGCCTGGGCGGAACTGGGGATCGGGAGCCCCGCCTGGGCGGAACTGGGGATCGGGAGCCCCGCCTGGGCGGAACTGGGGATCGGGAGCCCCGCCTGGGCGGAACTGGGGATCGGGAGCCCCGCCTGGGCGGAACTGGGGATCGGGAGCCCCGCCTGGGCGGAACTGGGGATCGGGAGCCCCGCCTGGGCGGAACTGGGGATCGGGAGCCCCGCCTGGGCGGAACTGGGGATCGGGAGCCCCGCCTGGGCGGAACTGGGGATCGGGAGCCCCGCCTGGGCGGAACTGGGGATCGGGAGCCCCGCCTGGGCGGAACTGGGGATCGGGAGCCCCGCCTGGGCGGAACTGGGGATCGGGAGCCCCGCCTGGGCGGAACTGGGGATCGGGAGCCCCGCCTGGGCGGAACTGGGGATCGGGAGCCCCGCCTGGGCGGAACTGGGGATCGGGAGCCCCGCCTGGGCGGAACTGGGGATCGGGAGCCCCGCCTGGGCGGAACTGGGGATCGGGAGCCCCGCCTGGGCGGAACTGGGGATCGGGAGCCCCGCCTGGGCGGAACTGGGGATCGGGAGCCCCGCCTGGGCGGAACTGGGGATCGGGAGCCCCGCCTGGGCGGAACTGGGGATCGGGAGCCCCGCCTGGGCGGAACTGGGGATCGGGAGCCCCGCCTGGGCGGAACTGGGGATCGGGAGCCCCGCCTGGGCGGAACTGGGGATCGGGAGCCCCGCCTGGGCGGAACTGGGGATCGGGAGCCCCGCCTGGGCGGAACTGGGGATCGGGAGCCCCGCCTGGGCGGAACTGGGGATCGGGAGCCCCGCCTGGGCGGAACTGGGGATCGGGAGCCCCGCCTGGGCGGAACTGGGGATCGGGAGCCCCGCCTGGGCGGAACTGGGGATCGGGAGCCCCGCCTGGGCGGAACTGGGGATCGGGAGCCCCGCCTGGGCGGAACTGGGGATCGGGAGCCCCGCCTGGGCGGAACTGGGGATCGGGAGCCCCGCCTGGGCGGAACTGGGGATCGGGAGCCCCGCCTGGGCGGAACTGGGGATCGGGAGCCCCGCCTGGGCGGAACTGGGGATCGGGAGCCCCGCCTGGGCGGAACTGGGGATCGGGAGCCCCGCCTGGGCGGAACTGGGGATCGGGAGCCCCGCCTGGGCGGAACTGGGGATCGGGAGCCCCGCCTGGGCGGAACTGGGGATCGGGAGCCCCGCCTGGGCGGAACTGGGGATCGGGAGCCCCGCCTGGGCGGAACTGGGGATCGGGAGCCCCGCCTGGGCGGAACTGGGGATCGGGAGCCCCGCCTGGGCGGAACTGGGGATCGGGAGCCCCGCCTGGGCGGAACTGGGGATCGGGAGCCCCGCCTGGGCGGAACTGGGGATCGGGAGCCCCGCCTGGGCGGAACTGGGGATCGGGAGCCCCGCCTGGGCGGAACTGGGGATCGGGAGCCCCGCCTGGGCGGAACTGGGGATCGGGAGCCCCGCCTGGGCGGAACTGGGGATCGGGAGCCCCGCCTGGGCGGAACTGGGGATCGGGAGCCCCGCCTGGGCGGAACTGGGGATCGGGAGCCCCGCCTGGGCGGAACTGGGGATCGGGAGCCCCGCCTGGGCGGAA